AAACTCAGAAACAATACCATGGTTCTAACTCTAGCTCTCCCATGTCTTTAGTCTTGCCTGCCATCATGTACCTTATCAACTTGACCTGGAAAGACTCTTGTTATCCCAATGCTTTCTCTAGTATTACACATGCCAAGTCTGAAGGGCACAGAGCAGTGGATTACATCCAGGAACAGCCAATGAGTCCACTAAATTTATTTTAATTATAATAACTGACTTATTTTATATGTAGCTGTTGTTCCTGTTAACTTCTACAAACAGATATTCAAAGGGCAAAGACAGTATCTTGTGAGAAGACAATTTCCCAATCTACCCATTCAAATCAACTAAAGGCAATGGAATAAACAAGGCAGAAAATTTGCAAACATTAAAATAGGAGAGTGCTTGGAAAGGATGCAATGGTACAGCAGCTACTAGTTATATATATATATATTACATATGTATACAAATATACACACATATATATGTATGCATGTATGTGTGTATCTTACACATATATCCATATACATATAAAGAAGAAGAATATTACAGCATGACATGATCTTGGCAACTCTGAGATTCTTCCTCCTGAATCCCCTGACGTTATTAGCCTGTACTTTAGGATATCTGAGAACAGTTTCAAAAGAGGGGAAAAAAGAAAGAAAAAAAGGCACTTAACAAAGACAAAGGCCTGAATTGAATATGCTTTAGAGGAATAATATAAGCCATTTTACCAGAGCTAAGAAATGATTTACAGAGTTAAACCTTTCCTCTTAAATTTTATAAAATAAAACTGTCTTAACATGTTTCTAATCATTTACCTACTACTGCATTTTTCTTCTGCATCATTATTACAAAAACAAAAGCCCCCTAAAAGCAAAAACCAAAACAACAGACAGACAAAAACAACCATACATGCATAACAGCAAGTAAAAGTGCCCTTCTGAGAACATAAGGTCAGCAGAAACTACAGTGCTGAAGCACAGGGCAAGTTCTCAAGTTTGGCCTGATTGTAGATTTCTCTCACTCTTCTAATTTAAAACAGGACAAAATAAACATCAACCAACAAAAAGAGCAAACAAAAATTCAAAACCTAAATGATGAAAAGCATACAAGGACCAGTGTGCTTTTATGGTACACCCTTAAAATAAAGTATCCTAGTTCTATACATGGGTCAAAGTATATGACAAAGCCTCCCAGAAATAAAGAACTGTAAATTGAAGTTGAACATTACAGGCAAAGTTCATTTTACAAATGTAGCAGCAAATCTGATAGATTAACTGGAGTTCTAAGAGATGATCCCAAGGGACACAGTATTCGCGTAATCAATGGTAGTTTGAATAACAGTAGAATTCCATTTCAGAAAATGTCTTGAACCAAGTAGAGGTGGAAAGGGGGTGTGGTAGAGGGCAACGAGAGGAGAAAGATTAGAGGTGTCTGCCCTTTCCAAACCTGGGTAGTAAACAATTTAAATCTGCTTTGGGGGGAAAAAAAAAATCCTCGGTTAAAAATCTTTTTGTAGAAGTTGTTTTCATACAGGTGTCAAACCCACAGCATTCAAACAGGTGTGTGCCCGGTTCTTCCTTCTAGCTGGGTGATATGATAAACCCTATTGAGCTTCTATGGTATTAAAAAAAAAAAAGAAAGAAAGAAATTTGGGCTAACAACATCCATCAAAGGGGTGGCAGGCATGAAGGAATATGCTGACACAATGCTCTGAGTCCCTCAAAATCAAGACTTGGGGACCTCAGATGAACTTCACTTCTTCCCCCAATACTTAATCTCTTCAGTTGGTTTTAAAAATCATGATTTCCTTTACCCTCTGATCTCAGAAGCAGATGAGAAAAGAATTATAACCGACTGGTAATGAAATTATTGCTTACATCGATTGTGGAGGCTCTGAATGAGCTTGACACTTTGCTCTCAGTCTCCAGCCGAGGCTCAGCACGCTATCTCTGGAGACAGCTCTGCTGATCATTCATTATTGCTTGTGAATACTGAGGATTAACTTGTATGTACAGTAACAGCTTATACGTCAGCGAAGGCAATTTAAAATACAAGACCGTTGAAAACAGCTTACTTTTCCTGAATCAAGAATCCCACGGCATGGGATGTAACTGTGTGCTGATTACCTTTACAATGGGATGTTGCTAATGCTCTTCAGAAAAGACACACTGCTCTATAGCCTTTCCAATTACTCTCCACTTTTAAAAAATAACATAATTTGATTTTCAAGTGCAAAAATAGAATATGAGTCACAAGCCTCTGTGCTAAAAAATAACTGATTTGTATGTATGTTTTTAGTAAGAAAAGCTGTAAAAATAGGTGTCTGTACAGTATGGACACCATTTTCAATGTTATGACCTAGAAAAGAATTAGGTATTTACATGCAGTAACTCTTTGATCATACTTTTTAAGAAATAAGGATGTTTATTTCATTTGTACAACATAAAAGGGCAGTCTTGATTGAAATGGATGAAGCTAGTGAAAATGTGGTGGGGGTGAGGCAGCAGTTCTCACAGAATCAGGATTGAAGAGAACAGAATAAAATCTTCACAGAGGAGGCCTCAGAGCCCAGGGCCCTCAGGTGTTTATAAAACGATATGGGGGAGGAACTGATAATCCCACTCTTCTCGAATGAAGACAGAATCATGGGCGGGGGCGGGGGGGGGGGCGGCGGGGGTTGTCTTCGGATGGTGTCGTCACTCCAAATCTTTGTTGTGACGAGACAAAGAACCGAGGAGCATACACTCGCCTGACAGTGTGATTCAGAGTTGATGGGTTTAACAAATTAAAGTTGTCAGTCCTTACCTTAAACTACCACTGAATTCATCTATCAACAAATATATGTGTACAAAAATACACACACAGATGAACACATGCACCACTCTCCACCAGAAGAGAGATGAATCTGCATTGTGTTCTCTCCTTGTTCGGGGAAGTAAAATGAAGGTGGCTTCTCAAAGGAAAATTCTTAAAGATTAGCAGACTTTTTTCCCTCTAAATTAGATAAAAGCAAGAGGTATGCTACAATGGAAGAACTCAAGAACTGGGTAAGCTTCCCTAGGTAAAAAAAAACCGAACAAACTTTAATCAAACATTCTCCATTCAAGTCAAACATATCTGCAACATCCCAGCATCCTTCCAAATATCTACCAGGGTTGACAGAACATTCTTATTTGCTTTACTGTTAAATTAAATTCTGAGAGGCAAGTAATTATATCAATGATTCCTTTGAAATAACCCTTTCCCCTTATTGTAACAAGTCCTTGGAACTAAAGTTTTCAGTTATTAACTTTTTTTTTCCCTGCTGTAAAGTAAGCCAATGTGACTCTGAAGTCAAAATATGGGCTTACAGATCTAAAGTATTCTGTGTTAATTTATTCACAGTCCTAAAGCCTATCTGGAACTTTTGCTTATGAAAGGAAAAAAGGGCCTGATTAATACCCTTATCTGGAAAAATATTAATGGTATTGCGTGACTTGTAATGAAAACATATTTAAGAAATCTTGCTACTACCAATCTGGTGCAATTTTTTTAGGTGTCTGGCATTATTAATGGACCAAGCTTACACCATACTTGTGAACAGTTGGAAAACATTCAGAAGCCTAAACAGGAAGAAAAAGACTAGAACAATGATGTGGTGAAAAAAGTCAACAAAATGTATCCAAACACTATAAATTTCTCCCTTAACATCCTTTGTTGAACATGCAATTTGCATGAGGAAGCTCTAGTAACGGAGTCTTATTATCTGCAGGTTTACTCATATATCAATACTCTAAGTATTAGTAAAACTTTAAAATTTCAAATGCTCCAAATCAGTTTCACTACAGTGGATATAGGGAGTAAAAATACACTGTTATAAAAATAATCCCCTGTACACAATGATCCTAATTTAATTCCTCCCTTTAAAATACCATCTTCAAAATTCCCCCCAAATACACATATGCCGTTTGAATGACCAATGAAGAAGCACTCCAATACACACTTATACCTGTTTATATCAATAGTTAATAATCACCTAAAATACCACTAGCAAAAAAAACAGAAAGAGAGGTTGTGAACTAAAGTGATGTTGGGGGAAATTGACAATTCATACTGGCAGGCCTGCAAAGGCTAAGTGGACCAAAGCTGCAGTCCTACAACAAAGATCCCCATTTCTCAAGAGGAAAATGTGAACACAAGTCACATTTTAACATCAAGAATGGAAATAAGAATTAACCAGTCAACACCAGATGCACAAATCACCTGAAGAAGAGAGTTAAGTACCTGCTTCTGAATGGAAGATGTAATTGACCCTTTTACAAAAAGGGGACATCTAAGTTTCATCTGTTATGAGCAACAGCCTCAAATTTTTGACTTAAAAAAATGTAATATATATCACTGTGCTAAAATAACTTTCCTGAAGCATCTTTAGTCCACTGATTTACACAGGAGTTGCTACACATTGGAGAAGATTCAAGTTTGTTCAGGATTTTTGAGGGTACATAATTTATACTCAGCTACTGTCTGCATCAGACATAGGGCCATTAAATTTTTTTCGTGGAAAATTTGTTGCATAGTCCACTCAGACATGACCACTACTCCTGACAAACTGGCCTAATTTGGGGTATACTGCCTTTTATTATGCAACTATGTCTACAAGTGTTCAGATCCAACCCCCAGGATGGATGGAGTTTACCCAAATCCTCAATTTCCTTCTTCCTGCCCAGGGAAAAATCAAATTTGTATTTCTGTGGGTTTGACAACTGAGTCTCTTTCAAGTCAGTTAATATGGTAACTTTGTCTTTCTTTAGAAGAGACCAAAGGTCACACTTAACTTTGCACAAAAGCATTTCTTCCTCCTGCACCTGGCTTTACTCAAGTAATGTTTTCTTTTCTTTTTCCTCCTCACCACAGTGCTTGGGACGAGAGAATGTAAACATCGACAGAACAGCAGCCCTATGACCACACGAGTACTTTCCCATCAGGTAGGTTCCAGCAGCCAGCCAAGTGTGTCGTCTCCTTTGCTTGCTGGGAAGTCACTGAGATTTCCGTGGTAACTTAGTGTCCCCTTTACTTTGGCCTCCATCTGAGAAAAGAGGTGTTCAATCAGTATGGGTCAGCATGTCATAAAAAATAAAAGCATATGAAGCAAAACAAACAATTAACTTTTAATTTTCACATGGATGACAACATTGCTAGAAAGATAACCTTTAGTACCTTACATGTTACAGCACAAAAAAGTTGACATATAAACAAGAATGATTCTCTTATCTCAAAATGACTATGGTTTAATTGGTTTCCAGTGTCCTACAAATACTATTTCAACAAGTTATTTGTTATCTACCTTATAGTCAACTATGTCAAATGCTTCGAAGATTATAAAGAGACGGAAAAACATAATCAGTCCCCCTCCTTCAAGGAACTTATCACATTTTTTGATTCCCTTAGAAAACAAGGTCAACTTCAAGGTTGACTTCATTTTCATGCAAATGAAAATTTCTTACCATGACATAGCAGTTAATAACTCTCAATTATTTATGCAAATGAATGGACCACACTGGGAGTGAAAACTCCAGCTGCATCTTTGTTTTTAGCCCTAACCTGGCAAATGTAAAAGGTAGGAAAGTCTGCTACGGGAAGAATGATTTTTCTAGTTTTATGTATGGCTATGTAACTTATACTGGGAAAATGCTAATCACTCTACTTAAACTGGACAAGAGTAGGACTGGGTGACCTTGAGGGCCAAAAAAAAAATGTAGAAAATCTCTTATCATTTGTTGCCTTATCAAGGAAAGTTAAGCTCCACCAGGCCTGAGTTCTCTTGCCTGGAGAATCCCATGAACAGAGGAGCCTGGCAGGCTACAGTCCATGGGGTTGCAAGAGTCGAGTCGGACACAACTTAGTGACTAAACCACCACCACCAGGCCTGAGAGAAAAACGCAGGGGGAGGCAAGAACGGCAGAAATGCACAAGTGTCAAGGAGCAAATTACTGCATTACAAGAGTAACCTTAAGCCTGGAGGAGACCCCTGAAGTCACAATGTTGAGTCCATTCCTGTGATGTCTAAATTACTTGGGTAAAACATAAGCAAAACAAAAAAACTGCCTCTACTGAAGAAAAGATGTATCAGTGAAACAAGATAATAATTTCAAAAGCTGTATATACAGAATACTATTTAAATGAACTTTAGTGAGAGTATCTAAGGAATTGGCATTTCCATTTATAATAAGATATTATACCCTTGCATATGTGGAAAGAAATGATTTGACTTGAGACACGATTAAATTCACAAAACAGCAGGGTGGGACTTTGCTAAAAGAAGCTTTGGATAATCAGCAAAATAAAATACTCATATTAGGTACTTCCCTCATGGTCCAGTGGTTAAGACTCCATGCTCCCAATGCAGGGGTCCTGGGTTTGCTCCCTGGTCAGGGAACTGGATCCTACATGCCTCAACTGGCAGTCTTACATGCCTCAAACAAAGATTCTGCATGCCTCAACTAAGACCTAGCACAGCCAAATAAATAAATTAATTAATTAAAATACTTAAAAAAAAAATACTCATATTAACCACACTGTGAAATTCTTTAGACCAGGGTTTGGCGACTATGGCCCTTAGGCCAAATATGGTCTGTTACCTCTTTTTGAGACTAAAGTTCTACTGGAGCCCAGTCACACTCACGTTATGCATTATCTGTAACTGTTTTAGCGCTGCAATGGCAGAGTTAAGTATCTGTGACGGACTACGTGGCCATGCAAAGTAAACATGAAATATTTACCATTTTCATGTTTGTAGAAAAAGTTTATTGGCCCCAGTCTTTAGACTAGATGTGATCAGAGAATTAACATTAACTAAGCTCTTACCATGTACCTGATACTATGCTAGAAGCTTTAAATATTTTTGTTAAATTCTCCATAATAAGCCTATTAAAAACATCTTGCTATCCCTATCAAGGGAAGTGATATTCAAACAAACTACACTTGCTCAAAGTGGCAGTCCTAGAATTCAAAAATTCCAGCCTGATTCTCAAATTTAGTGTCTCAGACTTTACAATGCTTTTTAAATGAAAAATTCTAAACTTTTAAATTTTAATTACTTGGAAAATACTGACAGTCTTATTTCCTGTCTCCCTCTGGAACAGAGGTGCTGATCAGATAACAAGATAATGTATCTAAATCTGGAATACGAGGGTCACATTGAACCACAAGAATCCCGTGTGCCTAATTCCCTGCAGATTTCTACCAGTCTGCCCACAAACATATAGTTCTCAGCTGGACTCACCATACCAAGCAGCTGTCAAAACCCAGGGTGGAACTGCTTTAGTCACAGGGCAATTTTCCTTAAGCATTTAAACCTAGTCAAGAAGCTCAGGGCGATCAGGATTGTTGACATTTGTGCCTACTTTGTGTAAAGAATCTGCCTGTAACGCAGGAAATTCGGGTTTGATCCCTGGATTGGGAAGATTCCCTGGAGAAGGGACTGGCAACCCACTTCAGTATTCTTGCCTGGAGAATTCCATGGAGAGAGGAGCCTGGCAGGCTACAGTCGATGAGGTCGCAAAGAGTCGGACACAACTGAGCGACTCACACTTTGTTCCCACACTGGCACAATTGTGGTCTTGTGTTCATTCTCTCAAGAGGTTAGTCTGGGGCAGCTTAACACTTGGGTGTCTTAGAGCATTTACTACAACCTACTGCCTCAAGATTGCTCTGAAGCTCCCATTTCCACTTTGTGGTCAGCTGTAAACTTGTTCAACAACCATTTTAAATGCAGTGGCCAAAAAGAACAGTGAGGCCCTAGTCAGCTTTCACAGTTAAGAGAAAAGCTGAGCTGCTCAAAGATGCTGAAAATGGCCCTCAGAATACTATCGGCATTTTACTGGGGTCAGCTGCTGCTGAGAGCGAAAATCTGGAGGCCAGGGATGGATGCAGCATCCGCTGTCCAACTCCAGACCTCAGAGCATCTAGCTGGCCTGCAAGTATGTAACACAGAGTGTGAGATCACATGAGTTTAATCAGGGTGAGGAGGCAGAGAAGAGTAATGGTTAGGAATACAGGCCATGGAGTCAGACCTCCTGGATTCTATCTCAAAATAAACACTTATTATCCCATCAACTTGGGCAAGCTGCTTACCTCTGATTCCCTTTCCTGAGTTTCCTGATCTGTAAAATGGGGATTGTGATCTCATTCACAGGTTTATTGTAAGGATTAAATTAGCTAATACGTGTATCACAAGACTATCTGGCACTCTGGAAAATTTCCATAAAGGTCAAGTGTGATTAACTACTGGACATGATTTTTGTATACTGTCTTATAAATCCTATTCTTTGTCCTCATTCCCATATAACAAACACCTTCAAAAAGGCTCTCTGCACATGTAACAAAAGATCTCCTTTACCTGTTTCCTTTCTCTGAAAAGGCATTTGTTGCCAATGAGCATTTGCTCATATGAAAATTACCTTTTCCAGTCTTTGTCATTCTCTCGTATTGTTTTCAGGAAAGATTTAATATATTGGTAAATCTGTGTAAATGTTAGATAGAGGAAGAAACAGGGGCTCTCTTACCATTAAACGTTTGCTGTACATGTGCAGGCAGAGGTGAGTGGGAAAGCGCTGCTGCGTGCTGAGCTCCTGGCTGTAAACCCTTTAGTAAATCTGGGGGGAGAACACACTTGTCAGTGATCTTCTTCAAACTAAGATCTGAGCCCTCTTAGATACAAAAATGAAAATAATTTATCCAATGCAAGCACAGACCTCGACTTCAAAGGTTTTTTTAAACATTACGTGTATAAATATAAATGTGCATGCAAATAACCCAGGAAATCTGACTTTCTCTTACTATAAATTTCATTAAAAGTGTGGAATAGCCAGTTAACTTTAGAAACTATAAAAAAATTTCAGAGTCCAGTAATTACTTATTTTATATATACACATTAAATAAACTGGATTTCTTTTAAAAAGAAATTCTATAATCTCCACTAACTCCAACTGGACTGCTCTCAATTAGTATAAATTTGTGAGGTTTCCTGTTCTGTCAAGACTAGGTAGCCATGTAAGAAAAAGAGCCCCACTTACTCTGAGTTAGGCTATGGTGGAAAGCGGCTGAGGTAGATCCCGAGGTGGTTGTCACTCCAGCTGTGTCCGTTCCAAAGCCAAGTAGCTCCAAGGGAAACTGGAAGGGCATGGTCACTGGAACAAGGCCACCCAGCATCCCAAAAGGAGTCACATTTTGATTTGTTACAGACAAAGGTGATGTCATGAGAGTCAGAGGTGAGGCATTAGCCAATAATGATGCTCCTGCTGTGGACTGCGGAAACCAGGGGTCAAAATACATAAGAAATCAAGTCTTTAACCTGAATTGATTTATTTTACTTAATATCCTCATGGACGTGAGACTGTGTCTTACGTCTACTGTAACAGAAACTCTGGGAGACAGAAATGAAGGCTGAAATGTAAATTACATTTCAAAGAGTGACCAATACTGGCTTTGAAAATACTTCTACTTAGCTCTTCATCACCAGTTAAGTTTCCTTAACTGTTACTGCAATGTCTATATTAACACCCATTCCTCTCTTAACACACTCATTTCCAAACTTGGACTTCCGCTTTTGCTCTGACCTCTCCATCTGACACAGGGAATTAATTCCATATAATTTCAGTTCAGTCTCTGATCTGTAGTTTAGCTGTCTTTCTGGGCACAACGTCTGCAGCTTCTGTTCTAGACTATTACTCTCTCAGATCCCTCAACTCCATACCCTGTACTTTCATAGTTAATGGCCATCTGTGTTTTCCTCTTCATAAGCTTTATCTGCCTCTTCCTCAAAAGCTAACCACCTGACCTATGCCATGAACACCACTCTTGCAGAACTTTCTGTCACAGATGTCAGTCAAGCACTGCACTTTCTCTGCATTTCCTCTGCTTTTGCATATACAGAGACCCCTGACATGTCTTAAAACCAACTGTCTTACAACCAACCATTACTCCCGGCTCTTCCCCAACCCCTAGCAACAACCTGACTTATGTATATTTCTTTTATTATCAAACTTATTGAATGGCAGCCTTCATTTTCCACACTTTCTCATCTCTTCTTAACCCTTAAAGCCGATTTCCAATCCCACTGCGTTTCTGGATGCAGACTCCTAAGGCAACAGGTGAATTACAGAGTGTTCCGACAGTCCCCTACTTGGGCTCTGACGCCATCATGATGAAGAAAACACTTCGAAACATGCCAGCACTGATAAGCTTTCATCGAGAAATTACTGAAATATACTCTATTAAGCTAATTTAGTTCTTTGAAAAATTTTCTATACAGCAAATAAACATTTTTTTCCATTCTGACTTTTTTGTGTATACTTAATAAAGATTATAACCAAAATTTCTCAGTATCAGATATTACCTACTATATCTGCAATTGTGAGCTTTCTTTTATAGCCTTATTTTATCAACTCCAAATTTCTGTGGTAAAAAATTTTCACAGTTGTAAGTTTGGTCAAGAAAACTGAATTCTCTGAGTATTTGTTAATCAGTAATAAGCATTAGCAACTGTTACTTTTATTTTGTATACTGATGATTTCTACCAGTAGACATTATTAATAAAGGGCTTGTCATTTTATTTCTCAGTTAATCTGTAGGAAAAATGCAGGTGATTTTCCCATGCAAAAATGCCACATCATCTCATGTATCTATACATTCAATGGTCCATACCACTGCTGAATGAAAAAATGAAGAACATCCTTAAAAAGCTTTCTATTCTGTTTTTTCACTAGTTCTCCAATTGCCTTCCCTTACCTCCTTTATTTATGTCTCAAACTTGTACCTATAGTTCTGACCTCTCACCTCAGTTTCGATCCTGGTTAGCTAATGGTTTAGTGAAGAATTGCACTTGGATATCTAACCTCACCAAATTGGTATGCTCAGAATTGAACTCATCATCTGTTACAATCATTTCCCTCCCATATATGTTAACTGCTAAGATCAGTAGTTTCAATTCTTTCCCACCACTCAAGGCTTGAAATCTTAGTTTTTAAGCAACACAAAATGAAAGACAAGATAAACTCATATTCAACATATCTTTTTTTTTTTTTAATCACAACCTTCTCCTACATTTAAGTAAGTGCAACTCTGTATCACTTTACGCTTGGACTTAACTGTTTTTCTTATTTGCCAGTCGTTTACCTCTACTGTGCCAACCAAGTGTCAAAAATGGGTGGTTTAGGAACAAATTACTAACTTAGAAACAGTAGTTTGAAGGAGAAAAAGGATCAGTATCAAGAGTTAACAAGAGTTTTCTCTTCTTTTTCATCAACATTCTACTACAATCTCAGAACAATATGGGGAGCACACGCTAAAACCATGTTTCCCAAGTGAAGCCCTCCTGGTAAGGAACATTAAATACTGCTAATAAGGAGAACTCTTATGCTTTTCTGGAGTAGGCTCATTAAAGCATTAAAGCTGACAGAAAATGTAAATTAGGGCAACTTCCAAAATTAAGTTATGTGTATTAGCAATAAAAAATGCCACCAGGCCGTTAACTAACATTTTATACTTATAAAAACCTTCCATATCCACTTTTGTTTATAAAACTAAAACCAAACACCAGATTATCTAAATGTTACATGGGCAGTTATAATTTTCTCTCACAGAAGATGGAGACCTTTTAAAAGCGGGGTATCCATTGTTGGTATTATTTAGAAGCATTACAGGAGAAGCTATCAACATGAACCAGGCAAACAGTTCAGGATAATGCCCCATAATCAGAAATATTTTCCACCTCTACATTTCATCCCCAGGGGAAAATATAAAGGAACACCTTGCTCTTTGTGGTGGGCGTTAGATTTCTTTTTAACAACATGTTTCATGTTGGTGAGTACATCTGCCCCCCACATTCTCTACAACACCCAGAATGATTTTTTGAAATGTGTATCAGACCATACCACTCCCCTCCAACGGCTTCCCACTGAACACAAAGTGGAAGCCCAAGTCCTTGCCCCTGAGGTCCTCGACCACATGGTTGGAGTTGTTTTCTGACCTGTCACCTCCCCCTCTTTCCCAACTGTCCAGCCCTGTCAGGCTCCTTCCTATCTCAGTGTCTTCACATCTACTTTCCCTTTCTTGCCTGGGCTGTTTGCTCTTCTCTCCAAAAGGCTTGGTCCTAGTCATTCAATTATCAGCTCAAACACTGCCTCTTCCAAGAGGCCTTCTCCATCTCCCTTATCCATGTTAGCAGCAATCACACTTTATCATATTATTGTTTTTATTTTTACAGCACAAAGTATTTTTAATTACTGTGTTTTGCTTATCTTCATCCTAGAATATATGCCCCATGGGGGGGGGGTGCATGATCTTGACTCACCCCAATTTCCCCAGCACCTAGAAGAGTGCCTGGCACATATTAAACACTTAGTAAATATTTGCTTAGTGAATTATTTTGGAAATTATAGAGTGGCAAAGACTGGATTCACAGAAAATCAATAAGCTGAAGGGCAAGAAAGAACAGGAAAACCTTCAGTGCAAAGTTATTAAATAAAAAGCAGGCAGAAATCAACCTGAACCTAGAAAGACTTTGATTAACCTCAGGACCTATCATGTTCACATCTGCACACAGCTAAAGACATCTTTCAGAGGCAAGTGGAATATTTTATAGACTTAGATAGGAAATCTGTTTTTCGTGTTGGTCAGCTTTAGAAAGACAGGATCTAGGTTCCACAAGGTAGCTGATAAGACATCATTGATGTGTTAAAAAAGAGAACAAAAGTTAGGAATAATCTTATTCAATTACTGATGTTTTCTTCAGTCAAACTAATAAGAAAGACAAAAAGGATCAGATATGAGGCAGGAACATTAAAGTCTCCAAATCATAAAGCCATTTTGGAGAGGAAGAAATCAGAAGAAAGGAGTTACATTTTAGAAACACAAATTTTGCCATGTAGGTTCCTTGATAAGAAACTAACTGGTAAACAATAAACCAAATTGTTCTTTTGGGATAAATGATCAAATGTAGGAAGTTTTCCGGGGGGTGAGGGGGTGAAAACAGAACTGATAGATTCTGGAGATGATGAAAGACAGAGGGAGATTTAACTTTAAAGAAAACAAAGTGAAAGAAAAAAAAAAAAAAGCAAATTTTAACTCCAGAAAATAAGCCCAAAATTTATGATTGAAACCACAGTTCACAATAGTTAGCTCAACACAGACAATCTTTTACAAAGTCACAGATTTAACCAAAAGTTGTAATTTTAGTCTCTGAAGAGAATGGGAGAAGTATAAGACAGTTAAAAGCCTTATTTATCACAATGAGAAGCTGAAAGATAACACTAAAAGAGACTTCTATTCATTCTTATTTTTAAAAAACACAAGAGAAAAAGCTAACAGTTAAAAGTAGTTGACAATAGGAAGGAGGATATGGGCCATGGAACTGTCATTTTGGTTATTACAATCCTCTCACATACTCATGATCAAATTAAAGACTGATTTCAAAAACAGTCAACATTTTAACAAAGATAATAAAATAAGAATGCAGACTAACTCCTAGATGTTAGTTGTAACTTAAATTTTCACATATGATCCCTAGGGGGTTTTTTTTTTTTTTGCTATTTTCTTATTTCTGATAAAAGCAAAATCATATTGATAAAACATCTATAAATCCTAGATTTCAATTAATGAAGTATCAGATAATGGAATTTTGTTCTATATTAGAATTTTAGAATTCATTCATTCCTAAGCCTATAGTAGAGGCAGAGTGATGATTGGGGTTTTAAGTGTACACTGAATACCAACACTTAGCTTGTACTGAACAGCAGGAAATCTCTCAGATACCATGTGGAAACTTACTTCATTAGATGTTCCTATTCCACATAAATAAGAGGCAGTACAAAGTTAGAGCACTTTCTTAAACAACAGAGTTTCATAAATAAGTCATATTTTCAAAGAGTAATTGAGAAGCTAAGAACTAACACCATAAAATACTATTTTTTAAAAAGCTTATGAAACACAGTATTATGTAAAATCTACTTTCTTGAAGAGTCTAAAAAAAGTATCTGGAAAACATCAACACTGGTGAGACGATACATGACTTTTCTTTCTTTAAAAATTTTTTCTGAATTTTACCAACTGTGAACATGGATTATGTTTCAAGGGAGGGGGAGAAAAGTTAAAGAAACCAAATGAGTAAAGTGAAGAACAAATCTGAGAAAGCCTCAGAATACAAATAAGTGGTAGATAGATGAAAATAATAACAGAAAAGATGACATGAAAGGCAAGAGAGATGAAATATATGAGCAATAGAGCTCTCAAAAAACCTCGGCAAATGGATCAGAAATAATAATCAGGCCCATAACAGAATAAAATATTCTTGAGCTGAAAAAATGAGTGGGTTCTAGACTGAAAGATGTTATTATTTTCGAGGTACAAAATTAATGAAAATTATCTAGATAAACCTAGCCATTATCTGGGAACACCTGATTTTCAAGGAAAAAGACAAAATGTGATTAGCATTTAGGCAGAGAAAATACGTTACTTATAAGGAAACAAAAAGTCAGAATGGCCTCAAACTTTTTTATAACTTTAAATAGTAAGGGTCAGTGGAGCAGTATATTTATAAAATCTGGAGTGAGACACTTAGTTGACCTAAGAAATCTGAATCTATTCAAGTGTGACAGAAATCATCAGGTATGTAAGTGCTGAAGTAAAACAACATTCACATTAGTCTTCTTGAAAAGATTTCTTGAATTAGGTACTCCTGCCAACTGAGAGAGAAATTTAAATGAAAAACTCATGAATGGGGAATGTGGTATAAACAGACTATTGATACTAATTTGACAGAGAATTATATATGAACAACTGCAAAATTTATAAAAAATAAAAATTTTATTCAAAAAGACATGGTTAAAGGAAAAAATAATATGAATGTATAAATTTTATTTAAAAAGTTATGAAAGTTGACAGGAGAATGGGACTAGGACAGGGAAAAGAAGAGACAAGCGAAGGTATATTAAAATCATAAGTGACTATTTTGTTCTGGACTTTGATAAGATACAGTTTTAAATTTTGAAAAATTTTGAAAGCAAGCATGTGATAAAAAAAACACATCCCAACAAAAATTCTGTCCCCAAGATTATCCATCACTGTGATGTCAACATCCCATAAGTTATAAATTATAAACAACTGACACATCATAATACGATCATTAAACTGACTGAGAGAAATTACACCGCCTTACACTTGATCAGGTGAGTGCATCTAACATACATACCTGCGCACTGGCTGTCACCGCTGAAGACCCTGAGGCAGAGGACGGTCTGTGTGGAGTAGACAACGGTTTAGTAGCACCCTGTGTTCCACTTCCTGTTCCCCCAGACAGACTAGTCCTACTAGCTCCGCTTGAGTTGAGGTTGCTACCTCTGCTGGCAGGTACATTCACTGCAATTCCACTCAAGCTATTCTTCCCAACAGTTCCAGTGGATGCTGAGTTTGTCAGCTTTGAAGGGGCCTGAAGATTTTTTGTAGACGGAAGGCCTGAAGTGCGATTCAAGGGCAATAAATTCAAGGTGGGAGACTGTCTGCTGATGTTCATTCCACTGGGCTGTTTATGGACTGGGTTGTTACTGCTCGAGTGGCTACTCTGGGCCACTAGTGCATTTGGACTGGAAGAATTTGGGGATACAGTAGGTTTGGGAGTTGGGTTGGATTTAGAAATAAGTTTAGTTGATACTGAAGGCTTAGCTGACTGAGAGGGCTTGGGTGAGGCAGAAGGCTTAGGTGAGGGCAAGGGTTTAGGAGATGTGGCAGGTTTTGGAGATGAGGCAAGTTTTGGGGATGCAGCCATTGAGAAGGGGGACTTGAAACCCTGCGTGGAGATTTGTGACACCATTGCCTTGGCTAAATAGTTAGTGGAGGTAGTGGTGCTAGGTACTGTCCTAGAAACCAGGGAGTGGGACCCTTGAGAACCATTTCCAGGTGGGGGTGTAGATAAGGGAAGGCGGTACATAAGTGGCTTGTCTGAAGTCTTAGTAAGTGGGGATGAACAGGAAAGCTGGGGATTATTACTTAACTTCACCACTGGGTTGGTCTGTGATTTACTAATAGTCGCTTGTAATGGAGACACATAGTTCTGCTGGACAGCTGAATGCTGGTGCACCTTTGTTACTTGTGTTAACGGAGAAGCATCTTGGGCCTCTGATGTTCCCAGAGTATGAGAAGAGGCAGCAACTTGGGCTTGGGAAGAGGAGGAGATGTGGGTCTGCGAAGAGGAAGAAGCATGAATCTGGCTTGACCTCTGTAGTCCTTGCTGAAGCAGCCTGGCTGGCAAAGGTTCTAAGGAAACTTTTGGGTTCTGAATTGAAGAACCAGCAATAAGGCCTGAAGAGATGCCAGTATGAGCTAAATCCTGGGGTTTCTTTGGTACTGGCCCTGTGTGGCCAGCAATAAGACTCGATGAATGTGCAGTCTGAGTAGAATCTAGCTTTTTGGGTGTAGCCAGTGGCAGTTTACTCATGATACTTGCTAATTTTTCTTCTCTCAGTCCTGGACGAGGTTTTGCAGTTGGCATACTTATCCTTGAGCCAGCTGGAGGGCCCTTGTTCCCATTGTTGATAACAGCTAAAGCTTCAGAAACAAGATCCAGTGCAGGTGGATGAAAGGAAAGTTCTTCATCTAGTGAGTCATCAAGGCAGATGGTCTCCTGCACTGGCGTGGAGCCAGAACTGGTAGAGGCCACGGCCGATGTGCTAGAGCTCGCTGAAGGACCACCAACTGAAGCCATCGAGGATGCAGGAGTTTTCTGGTCCTTTTTTGGACTACACTCCTAGCATTAAGAAGCATTATATTGGAAAAACAAAAACAATTGATCAAAATTTACACAGTATTAGTTTTTAAAGGATTAGAATTCTCATAATTAAAATTCTACAAGTCTCTTTGCCTTTATCTTAGGATTTTACCCATCTTGTGTAGTATGGTTTACTATGATAAAGACCATCACTCCCTGCTTCCTTGCATTTTGACCTCTTTGTATGCCTGTCTTACCTACAGACAGTACACAGAGAAAATGGCACATCAAACTGGTAGATGATTCAATTCAAGCACACTTAAATTGTGCTTTCTATTCATTATGGTAGAAGTCATTTATAATTTATAAATTATAATTTATTCCATATATATTCACTATGAGCAAGGTACTATGCTAAGAAAACAAGAGTATTAGAAATTAAAACTCTAAATATCTAAGAGAGAATTAAGAATTTAACCTTCTTGAAATTCAAGGAAGAGATAGAATTAGAGCAGTTTAAAATACTTAAAGAGCAAAAGCATTAAAAAAGTATCTTTCTAAAGAAAAATATGAAGTACTTGACATTTTATTTTTAAAATTAAGAAGAAAGAAAACTACATGAAAATCATTTCAAAGTTTCAACTAGTTTTTTAAAAAGAGACAAATCCAAATAAACCCAAAGCCATATATATTAATTTATACCACCACAGCACTTACCTTAACTGTAGTGGGGAAGCATGGAGAAAAAGTCTCTACCATCTACCTTCTAAGGTATTATGACAATAAATAAGAACAGTAAATTCTTATTTCTCTTAAGAATGCCACTGCACTCTAACTTTCTTAGCAATTTCTCTAAAACTTCTAAAAAGCCCTGACTGAAAACCTCAATGCCTTTTAGCAGTCTGAAGTGTAACTACATTAAGGGCAAGGCTGTCTGCTAAGATGAACAGATGAGACATTCAGTGAAAACTCCATTACTAAAAAGAGGACAGAAACTGAGAGTGAGGGAGTATATCAAAATAATATTGGTAGTGTTACCAGTATAAAATTGCCATTTTAAAGTAACTTCTTTATTAATATTTTTTCTTTATAAAAATAACATTTAATCCACCCAAGAGTACTGTGTAGATTTATACTGGCAAATTGTTTAGGTTATATATTTGAGTGGAAAAAACAGGTTATTTCTTTTATATAAAATGTTAATTCAATCTGGATAAACAAATGGCTGGATGGGCAGATGGATCCGGAAGGAAGGAGGGGAGGTAAGGACAGATCCAGAAGAAGGGAGGGCAGATGTGTACCAGAAAGAAGCTTTTTTTCCTTTGTGTGAGCAGAAATTTCAGGATAGTTTTACTTTCCTCCTTCACTTTTCTATATTGTTTGCATTTTCTCCTATAAGCATTCCTGGTATTACCTTTATAACTGAAGTAGGTATTGAAGGGGCATTAGAGCAGGAAAAAAAAAATCAGAATGCAGCTTTTTCCATTTGGGGAAAAGGTAAATTCACAAAGATGAACAAAACAGGACTACTCTGGTGGTTCAGTGGTTAAGAATCTGCCTGCCAATGCAGAGGACCTGGGTTTGATCCCTGGCCTGGGAAGATCTGACATGCCTTGGGGGCAACTAAGCCCATGCCCTACAACTACTAGCATTAACTACTGAGCCTGTGCCTAGAGCTTGTGCTCTGCAATGAGAAGCCATAGCAATGAAAAGCCCGCATATGGCAATGAAGAATAACTCCCACTCAAAGCTACTAGAGAAAGCCCGTGCACAGCAATAAACACCCAGTGTAGCCAAAAATAAACTAAAAAAACTTTTTTAAAAAAGATGAACACAACAGATTATCCCACTGTACCATCCCAACACACCCGTTATCAGAGTTCTGGGAAATTTAATCATATGTTTAAAGAGATGTAGCAAAATTTAACCAACTCTTTATGGTGGGTATTAGGAGTTTAAAAATAAGTCAAATGTCAAAACAAAGCATGAACCAATAGATTTAATTAAGAAAAAGAAGACTACTTAATCTATATTCAAAAAGCCTCTAACACTATTAAGAAGAGCACAGAGTAGCAAATACAGATCTTCTGGCCATAACCTCACAAGCAAAGAAACTCTATTCAAAGAGTGAAGACTATGGGAAAAGTCTAAAATCTAAAAGGGGTGGGCTTTCATTACAATTTTAATTTCAAATGATTATAGTTTTCACTTCTAGAGGTTATAGTGGGTTGGCCAAAAGGTTCATTTGGTTTTTTCCATAACAGCCTACAGAAAAACTCAAAACTTTTTGGCCAACCCAATGCTTGGTTCAACTCTGCCTTGTCTATTTTGATGTTTTTTGTCCCTCCTTCTACATTTTTAAATATTAAACAACTTAAGTTACTTTATGTCCTAACCATAATAAATCCATCACTTGCTGTTCTCAGGGATTCAATTCTACTGGTTGTCTCTGCTGACCCACTCATAGGAATATTTCCTCACAACATTTCCTCATGTATCCTGTATTTTCACATGTTTGACACAGTATATATAGTGGCTAGGATTTGGCGCTTTCATCGCCACGGCCTGGGTTCGTTTCCCAGTCAGGGAAACCCTTCTTTGGGCTTCCCCAGTAGCTCAGCTGGTAAATAATCCGCCTGCAATGCAGGAGACCCTGGTTTGATTCCTGGGTCTGGAAGCTCCCCTGGAGAAGAGATAGGCTACCCACTTCAGTATTTTTGGATTTCCCTGGTGGCTCAGATGGTAAAGAATCTGCCTGTAATGTGGGAGACCTGGGTTTGATCCCTGGGTTGGGAAGATTTCCTAGAGGAGGGCATGGCAATACACTCCAGTATTCTTGCCTGGAGAATCCCCTTGGACACAAGAGCCTAGCAGGCTACAGTCCATGGGGTCGCGAAGAGTGGGATACAACTCACCAACTAAGCACATATGTAATAAGCCTTTGAGGCCTGGGATGAGGGTACATTATTCCAGAAAGAATGTGATTTGCCAGTGCCCTGGGTTAATACTAATTTAACAACTTTTAAGTTATTTTCCTAGCTTGAGGTTTTCCCAGATTACCTAGGTTGTATAAACTAATCTCCTAATCCACAGAAAATTTTCAGGAAGGACATTCTTTCCCTAATTCAGAACCATGGCCAAAACATACAAATTTCTTAATCTTTTTACTGGTGAGTGGACTTCTTTTCTAGCCCTCTCTTTTACTAAAAATGTCATCCTCTGAGAGTCCCAGGTTTATGGAGAGCTTCATTCCAATTCCCAACCTATTTAAGTCTAAGAAAATCTTATCAGCTGTGTTGTGAAAGGTGACAGAAATCAGCAAATGCACCTAAGGGCAACTGAAGTTTCAGTGACAGATTAACTTTCTGGCAGCTAGTCCTTTGCTTTGAGACAAGGATTTCACTGATTCAAGATCCCAGCCATGCTTTTAAAAGCTATTTGTCATATTAATATTTTATCCAACATTTCTAAGTAGTACTAAGCCTCAGAGTTCAACTAATGTATGTAAACTTCCCATTGCCACAGTTATCTATTCTCCCAAATACAATGGCTCCAGAATTTTTACAATGCTTGAAAATACCCATCTTAAGAGAACAGTACCTAATCTATGCTAAATGCCATATAACCTTTTCATCATAAGAATGTATTTCAATAGTCACCAATTATCACTAACTAAAGATTTAGTTCAATACTTACCTTCACTTTGGGTTTAGGTGCAGGAATCACCTTTTTCTTTGCCCTAAGAGAAAAGATTAAAAAGGACGTTATCTCAATAGCAGTTAAGTCACTCATTAGGAAATTGTAACACATAATTTTGTATGTAAGTATTCAGTTTATATGTGAATATACAGCAACATTTTTACTAATTTCAATTAACTACAATAAAGGTCAAACCATTAGTAAAATGTAGATGATAAAATTTTTTTAATTAAATATAATTGCTAAAAATAAAACTCAAAACAGGCTAACGAAGCTGCCTAAAGGATACTTATTTCAAAGAATTGGTAGGAATTTGTAATTATTTATAGAAAAGAGCTTTAAGGAACTTCAAGCTCAAATTAAACCATGCTAAGAGGTTATAAATGACATACTATTTAAAAAACAAAACAAAAAATCCTCAAGTTTTTTAAGAAAGTTATTTTTAACATAATAGTTCAAAAAAAAAATTTCAAAACTGACAGAAAAAGGGCAATAGAAAAATACCATGAAAGCTTAGAACATTTGTGAACCAGTGTGAAAAAGTGAAAAGATTAAAAAAATCTTAAGGGTTCTTTAGCACAAGAAAGTACTTACATGTTTGCTGAATAATTAAACGGTTGTAAAGCTAAAATTATCTGAATATTTCTGAACACTGAATATTTCTACTTCACTAAGTTAAATTAACAAATGTCTAAATAAAATTTTACAGTCAATCTATAACTTCATTAAGGCAACAGTAATAGTCATGACTTCCAGGCCTATATTATCACACAGATTCCTACTTTCTGATACAAAACAAAAGAAAAAGCCATAATAATGAGGCTACTAAAAAAAAAAAAAAAAAAAAAAAAAACTGAGGGAAGGATCTATGTGAAACTTGCTTTAGAACTGAAGAAATAAATTATTTCTATACTTGAATTGTAATGGGCTTTTAGGACTATAGGGAAATTAAAGGCCTGAAATATTGACACAAATACACATAAATGCATAAAAAAATATATTTACTCCCACCCTGGGATATGTAAACCACCTGCAACAAAGTAAACCTATAAAACCAAACTACTCCAAATTTATACCCCAAAAAAACAAAAATAGCAAGATCTGAAAACCAAAACCAACTTTAATGTATCTCCGATAGTAAACTAACAAAGTGTCCTTCCTAAAAGCTGTAAAAAAAAAAATTCTATCCACTGCAAGTATACATAAGGAGAGGGGGAATTTCGTAACACTTCCCAGATATTATCCAGACCTCTTAGTGGAGTACTGAACTAAAGTTATCCAGTAACTTCTCAGTGACCTGCTAATTTTATATTTTAATAACCCTTAACACTACACTTCTAGGCTATAGAGAAGAAGCCTTAAGTTGTAAGGAAAAACAGAATCCTTGTCAAGATAACCAGTATTCACCCAAAAATATAACCACAGAAAAAACCTGCCTTTTTACTAGAGACCATTCTTGAACCCTGGTGGCTCAGACGGTAAAGCGTCTGCCTACAATGCGGGAGACCTGGGTTCAATCCCTGGGTCAGGAAGATCCCCTGGAGAAGGAAATGGCAACCCACTCTAGTATTCTTGCCTGGAAAAATCCCATGGACAGAGGAGCCTGGCAGGCTACAGTCCATGGGGTCGCAAAGAGTCAGACATGACTGAGAGACTTCATATTCTTTAGTAATTACATCACTAATGAAAAGATCCACTTTGGGACAGAAGAAAGGACATGAAGAGTACATTAATTTTGTGGAATAAAACACGCTGCAAGGCAAGGCTAGGTAGGATATATACAGAACTGTCCTGGAAAGCAGGAGGCTAACAGATTACCTTTGTAGATGGTCATTAGGAGGGAAAGAAAAAGGATACAAAAGAACTGGAGGGCAGACCATCCAGGAACAAAGGAAACCACTGAAGCCTTCCTATTTAAATGGCTTCTCACCACCAGATTTCAAACCAATATGTTACATTATGTATTCAAGTTTTTAGAGACTAGCCTAAGAAGTTGTTAATAGAGAAATGTGTCCTCAGGTCCAGAGAGTCAACAGTTAAAATGATTTTTTTTAAAAAGCTGTGTTAAGACAGATTGTATGTTTAAGTCCTATTTTACCTAGGATTTAATGAATATTTTGTTTAATAAATATCATAATGTGAATAAAAATAAATGAAGAAATCTGGGGTCTGCATTTACTCACGGAGCAGAAGTAAGATGATTATGTACACTCCGACTTTCCTTAAAAAGCATTCTGGAAAAATTAAAAAAAAAAACACAGTTATTTTTCATAGCAAACAATAACAAGATAATCACTTTGTCATTTTAATCATTTGATACTCAATAGGCTACTACTTGCTATTTACCAAATAAAGACTTACAATGGTACAGTAAATTCAATAACCTATTTTATGCAAAATTTTATATTATCTCTTTATTTAAATCTTTTAAAAGATTTCTGTTGATTTAAAATGAACACTAGGATGACAGGTTGAGACAACCAGGCCTATTGATTTTAACATTCTATACTTAACTCTTTAAACTGAGCTACCCTTAGTTTTTGAGATACCACTCTACACTGACTGTATTTTCAATAGAACTAAAGTTGTGCCTCTTTTTCTGCAATCTAAATCTTGTATTCAGTTACTTATCTTCAAGATACCCATATAAAGTTCCCTTCCCAAAGTTCATAACCTTCTTCCCCCCTCCCTTTTTCTCTATTAGGAAATTCAGGTGCAAAAAAGAAAAACTGGTCAGTTAAAGAGAGTCACTTTTATGTGTATCTCTATGTCTATATGACTTTTTTCTTTTAAGTGAGTGAAGCTTTCAAAGTAGGCATCATCTGAGATGACTTACAGAATGTCAAACACACTAGGTTCTTAGGAAAATGAATGTAATATGTGTGTATATATGTGTCTTTAATAACAGCAATAAGAGAGTAAAATAAAATCTAGGATGTCACATTTCTTACCTTGCCTGCATCCAGCCCTTAGGCCACAATGGTTTCACCTCTGTCTCCATAAAGGATTTAAGATAATCCTCAGCAGACTGGCTTTTATTTGGCTCTAACTCATAGCATCCCAATTTGATCTCAACAAGGTTACATAACAAAGTTCTAAACAGATTAAAAATATATATATTTATATATAAATCTGACTGCAAATTGTAGAAAATTAAGCTTGAAACAGATTTTTTTAAAAGCACACAAATCTGACAGCAATAATAAAGAATATTATCTGAAGAATTCAGAAGATGACATGAAGATAAATAATTTCTAACATACATCATTCAGTGCACTATAGCCAAATCCCCAGTATAAGATAATTCCCTTTGGTACCTTTAATCCAGGCACCAAAGTTTAAAAGGGGTAGTCCTACAACTAAACCCTCTACTAGGAGTACAGAAATACTGGTAAGAAAGATGACTGGTTACACAAACGTACTGAGTACTTCACCTCTGAAACCAGTATGACTTACTCAATAATAAGATTAGTTTATGAAAAGTGCTATGTGAAAATAAAAGTGATAGAACTCTATGGATATTAGAACCAAATTAATTTCTCTTGAATAAAATTTTCCTACACAGTAACTTTTGGTTGCTTCTAATCGAGTTTTCCATTTACTCTAGATTCTTTTTTAATGAGAAACCGTAGAAACTGTACTTCTGCATTATCTATTTGGTTGAAAGTGAAGGTTTTCATTAAACCTTACCTAATGGTGTCATCCCAGTGGAATTTCTTCCTTGGTCCTATGACACGTTTCCCCGGTTTCTCCTCGTCATCTTCCTCGGACACATTTTTTTCTCGTTCTTCATCTGTTTGAAACCTAAAAATGGAAAACATTTTATGCAGCAAAGTTTTAACCCAACATTGCTATAATATGCTCCTTGGATACTTGTTGAATTGCTTCAAAGACAGGGTAAATAAGGAATTAAACTTTCCACATTATACTTTGAATTTGAAGTGCCTTATATAGCACTCTGGTAAATAAGGTCTTCAAATTCTAATATAAAGGCATGAACACATATCTTTTGTATCCAACTGCAACCAGTCAAGTAGGTCAACATGTGAAATATCTTATCAGGGTCAGCTCTAGCTTTGATCACACTCATGCACAACACAACATCAAAAGACCTTCTGCCTTTCACCCCAAAGCAACTGAGTGGGAAGTGCCTTACCATTTAGAAAATATTCAGTTATGCCACTCTAGTGGTTTAGGTGGATTTCTACTTAAGACCAATCCCTAAAAGCTACAGGTATTTCTCAAGTGCAAAAGTCAGTCCAAATAGAAGAGGTACATACTTGGCACACTTAGCCTGATTACGAGCCTGGCAGTCCTCCTGGTATTTAAATAGCTGTTCAGGCATGACATTGCTGACAGCCAGTTTCAGCTTTTGCAGAGGTTCTCTTAAACGATCATCCTGAGGGAAAAAAAACTAAAAGTTTTTTCAAGCATATTTACATAGCCTATTTTGTAAGCAGGTCCTCAAAAGATGAAATCTGGGTTTTAGATATTGATCACACAACTGAAATGTTAGCATACTCAAATACGGACATTTCTTCTACAATGCTGACTTTTCACCGTGCACACTAGATATAAAATTAGGATAACCATACTTCTCAGACAGCCAAACAGAGTCCCAGTTTTTGCCTGTTGCCTCAGCATAATTAATAGTGTTCAATTACATTCTTAAAAATACTCCATGTTTGGGCAGTAAATTATATACACACTTTAACTATAATACAATGATTACATAGAGACCAAAATCTAATAAAAATAAAATACAAATATTACTAACAAGCATTTTACTTATTTCATGCATACCAATTACTATTGTGGCACATAGGACAGTATTTGCTATAAAATACCATTCTTCAAAATGTGAAATCCAGTATCATGGTTTCTATGTGATCTTAAGAATTATACAGTTGAGACTCTCTGCCTGGGAAAAAGTCAAGTATCCATCAACAGTTAAATGAATAAATTAACTGAACTATATTCATACAATGGAACACTGTACACACAGCAGTAAAAATGGAGTCCCACTACACATAAAGACAGATAAACCTGAAATGCATAATGTTGAGTGTAAATAAGCAAGTTGAAGAAGAAAACAGACACTGTTTCTCCATTTATATGAAGCTCACAAACATGCAAACCACACAATTTGTTTAGAGATACAAAGGTACGTAATTATACCACATGAAGAAAAGCAAGGGTTAGATAAATGTCTTCTTCCATAGCTAACATTCCACAGTCCAAGAAATCTGAGACCTCAAATAAATTTCATTTGTTCATTAACCTGCTTAAACTGAGAAAGAACTATAGTTTCTCAATTCAAAGAACCATTTTATTAATGGAAGTATACAACCTGTAACACAGAATTCCATGCCAAAAGCAGAATTAGGGTGGAAAGGATGGAAAGGACTGGGATCTGACCCAATGTATGGAAGAACTTCCTGATGTAATGAAACACTTAGAGGGGTTGTAGTGGAAAAGAACCTAGTAAAACACTGATGATTACAATGAATAATCTTTGAGTTTACACGCAACCCTGTGATTCTTTCCATTGGTCTTCATGTCTGTGTGAGTGTGTCTGTATGGGTCCATTTCAGGAATAAAAAAATTGAGTGACACATGTCAGATTATTTGTTAAGGATAAAGTTGTGTCAGCTATGAAATGAAGTTAATTTATCTCATCCAGGAAGCATTAGAAAACATTATTTCTCATCAAAACTTATCAACTATTGAAAAGCAGTTGTATCCCAGGCCTTAAAAAGAACATTCTGTGGTTATTAAATATATACACTATGACTGTGGTTATTAAATATAGATACTATGACTATAAAGCAATTAATATGCAAAAGCAGCAAACAGAAACCAGTCTCTTTACAGGTTCTAAAACCCCAGATGCAGTTATTATTATTCCCCTTCTTACCTGGACATTGAGATGTAACTTCTTCAGACGTTTTACCAGTGTTTCTTTATTGCATGGCACGAAAGCTTCAAGGTGGGAGTAGACACCACTACGAATGACAGGGCCTAGTTCCTGCAGCTGTAACTCAATGCTGACCAAAAACAATAACAAATAAGTAGTAGAGAATTTCTTTTAGGTAGCAACAAATAGGCAAGGAGACAGAGGCAGATTCTTTTCTCATTTTATACTTCCCTGATTTCCCAGACAGCATTGTTCAAGTAAAAAAACAAAAAACCCAACATGAATCTAGTTTAAGAGTAGAATTTATAACCCTAAACAAGATGGCAAATAATTTGCTTTTTTTAAATTGAAGTATAGCCAGTTTACAATATTGTGTTAGTTTCAATTATACAGGAAAGTGATTTAGTTTTATATATATACTTTTTCAGATTCTTTTCCACTATAGGTTATTATGAGATATTTAATATAGTCCCCTGTGCTATACAGTATCTTTATCTATTTCACATATCATCATCATGTTAGTCACTCAGTTGTGTCTGACTCTTTGCAACGCCATGGACTGTAACCTGCCAGGCAAAGAATTCTTCTTGGGCCTGCAGCCAGCAAGGCATGGAATTCTCCAGGCAAGAATACTGGAGTAGGTAGCCATTGCTTTCTCCAGGATATCATGCCAACCCAGTGACTGAACCCAGGTCTTCTGCATTGCAAGCATATTCTTTACCATACAGCAGTGTGTTATCTGTTAATCCCTAAATTCCTGGAAATTCCCTGGTAGTCCAGTGGTTACTCCATGCTTCCACTGCAGGGGGCAAAAGTCTGACCCCTGGTCGGGGCCTTAACATCCTGCGAGCCGCACAATATGGCCAGAAAAAAAGTCCTTAACTCCTAATTTACTCCCCTTCTGGTGCAAATAATTTTTTTTTTTGGTCTTTTATTTTTAACTGGAGGATAACTACTTTATGTTATGTTGGTTTCTGCTGTACAACACCACCACATGAATCAGCTATAACCAAATAAACTTCCTAATGATAGGGGTAAAGTCTCCATTTTTGTGTAAAGCACAGGAACTCCACTATTAACCAAAAACTCATTTCCTCAAAGAGATTTCATAATTCCCCTCACCACCCTGCCACCGTTATACTAGAGTTACAATTTCTGTAAGTTCTCAGAGTAAATTTTCCTTAAACATATTTGAAAATATTACAGATTCAGAAGAGGCTACACACATAGATTGTCTTATCTATCTTTTATTGGCCTTATTGTGCCTCCACTGCACAAACTAGATATTTATTAGTTTATTCAATATACTCTAATTCTCCAGTTCCTAAAGGGTATTTAGCCAAATAGCTGCTTTAAAAAAAAAAAAAAAAAGAGTTTGTAACAGCCACCATATTCTTAGCAGGACAAGTCTATAATAAACAGTTGAGGTTTCTTTAAGATGGAGGACATTATATCTGGCAGCTACTACTGTAGAAAGGTGAAAACAGATGTTAATTTGAAGGCCGAGACCAAACTGGGGCCCTTGGTAGCAAATTATGTCCAAATCATCATGTTCTTCTATAGGAGAAGGTGCTGACAGACTTAAAATACTTTCACAAATGTAGGTGCATCCTAAGATTCAATTAACAGCTTTTGGGGGAAAAAAGAAACCAGAAACCCTGCCAGATCAAATGTATCTAACACTTATAATATACACTGCAATTTCAGAAACAATGAAATGTGGAAAACTAACTATACGCCTTAGAATTGACAGTATAAAATTTTCAGTATTAGAGAAGCCAACACAATAAAGAAATAAATGAACAGAAGTTTAAGACCTACTAGAGCCAGAGGGTCAAATGCAGAGGTTCATATGGAAGATAATCACTATGGTCATGAGTTCTGTGTATAAACATTTGGTTAAATAATGCGGTTAGAATTTATTAAAAGTCTAGACTCTGAGTAGGAGGCATTTTAGGCTTGTCCCATTATAAAAGGTTAGTTAAAGCTGAAAATAAAATAGAAACTCCAAGTAGTAAGAGATTCCAAGTAAGAACAGATTAAATCAATGACCTACTTATAAAAATTAGTGGTTTCCAAAGAGGGGGTAACTCAGAAACTGGAAGCACTGACTCTGCTCCCAAGCCCCTGTTAGGTAAAAATTAGAGAAAAGGATTAACCCTAGAGGTTACTGACTGTATTGGTCTATCCCAAATAGATACAACTTTGTATCTGAGAGCAGTTTAAGTACATATCCCTCACATATACACTTTAATATTTTTTTCTAAGAATTCCAATCTTTTAGTATATGGGGATGACTAAAATTTACCTAAAAAAATTCATGGAATTACTACTCCAAATAATCGTGTATCATATGCCCTGAGACAATCAACTCAGTACAGAGAAATATGGGATGTTTGTTCAGGAACGTGTAAGAAGACAAGAGGAGCATAAGAAAGTTACTAAAAGGAAAAAAATTCAAAGTCTGAACACTAAGGCTTGTAGAATTACAGGAACACTCTCTGTGAAATAAAAAAATAGATGGGCTCAAAAAAAGACTAGAGGATTTAAGACGGACATGGCAGGAATTAACAGAGAAGCCTGTTAACAGAATACTGGTAACTGGTATTCTGCTTACTTGAGATGTTATGTCCCAAGTATGACCTTTTGATGATCAAAGAGAGAAAAAGAGTTGTCCCCTTACAGAAGAGTAAAATAAAAAATGACTGTCTCAGTCACAGGAGAAAGAGCTAATCTAGTAAACTTGGGCTATTAGGTAAAAAGAAAAAGAGCTAGTCCTGGAATCTGGGGCAGCTCTGCTAAGTAATGGTTACACTGGTTATTGAACGTAAGGTTTAGAAGAAAGGTAGGTAAAAGGATGTGGCACTGACAGGAAGCATTTGCAAGCAAACTGAATAAACCTGAAAACCCCTGGCTAAAATAAATAACAGGAACAAGAAATTCCTCTGTCTCCATGCTAGTCCATGGGACCAAAAGGTTTTTTTAAGTACTTCACGAAAAAGAGAGAATGCATTAATTAAAATAGTTATCAAAACCAGAAAACAAACTCATTCTTATATCTAATGAGAAACTAACTCCATTATATATTTAAAAGACAGGAATTACAGTATTGGAAACATTGCCTCGTTTCTGTATATATGATGCTACTAAACCACCAAAAGTAGGCATACATTATTTTCATCAGAAAGGAATTTACTGCTTTCCCCAGGATCACTTCTCTTTTGCCCATTCCTGCCTGTAGTCAATTATATACTCAATTTCTGGAACCACAGTCAAAATTTATAAGCCAATAGGTTTATAAATACAGCTTATTTGGCCACAATCTTAGAACCTGCAATTTCATTAACATCAAATTCTAGCTAAGGGTGAAGATTATCACTGATTTAAATACTGTCTGTATCATAAACCAGCTTTTACCCTTTCCTTTCCAATTGAACACCTGTCTTCTCTACACTGCCTCCATCCTATCCCATAACAATGATTCTTCATTAAACCATACTTTCCATTTGGATATAAAATGTTTGTGTGAATTTTAATGTAAACAATCAGAGATGTCTCAAAAAGATATCTTCACATAACATGACAAACACTGAATTTAAAGGTAGGATAACATTCAACCCCATACAGTGGTCACTTGCTCTGGTGGTTTTCCCATTGGAAGCTTTGATTATCATAAGGGGTCATGGAGAACCACTGTACAAAGACACATAGTTTTGCTAAGAAACTTAATCACACATGTTGTGAGGCCAAAAGGAAAGAGCTAAGGTCCGAGACTAACCAACCAAGCAGCATCTATCTGCACCTCAAAGGTCTACAATATTTCTTAAAGAATTCTTACGGTTTTTTAATCAAAGAAGAAAATTACTTACTCCAGAAGAATATTATTCATATCCTGTGTAAAGAATTTTTTCCTTCCTTCTTCATCAAAAAGTTTGGCAGCCTACAGAAACACAAGATTGTCAATAAAACCCTCAATAAACATATTTGTTTCCATATCTATTTACTTTAGAATAAGCTCCTTGAGGGCGGGGCTAGGATTAGTTTCACTTCACATCCCAGCTATTATCTGGCATGACAGGCAATTAAAGGGTGCTGAGACAAAATTTAGCATACATAACATTCTTTCCTATTATGTCTGTATTTCATTTTTCTGAATTTTCCCAAATTCAATAAGTTATACATATAAGATTTTTTAGTGCTATGGGTATCTTGTGTATCTTGAGTATCTGTTAGTTTTATTAATTCTCGCTGTTGTCTCCAAGATGACAGAAAGCTGCTGTCTCACTTTTTACTAGACAATATTGTCTAACATCATGTCTGATATTCTATATACTGTACACATTACCATGTTTAATCTTCATAACACTCAGTGACATGAGCATTATAGCCCCCATTTTAGAAACAAAGAACCTAAATCTTACAGAAGTTATGTGATATACCCGCAAATCACACTGCCAGTGAGTGGTGGATCCAGGACTCAGACCAGAAGCTTTCTGACTTCAACTGTATAACACTGTGACTCTGTACAAAGATACTTAGCTTCTGCAGCCAGTCTGTGAAGTGAAAGTCGCTCAGTCATGTCCGCCTCTTTGCAACCCCATGGACTATACAGTCCATGGAACTCTCCAGGCCAGAATACTGGAGTGGGTAGCCTTTCCCTTCTCCAGGGCATCTTTCTGACCCAGGGATCGAACCAAGATCTCCCCCCTTGCAGGCAGATTCTTTACCAACTGAACTACAAGGGAAGCCCCGCAGCCAGTCTGGGTTCCACTGAATTACTAACAGTGAAAAAAATGGCCGTGGTCATTATCCAGGGATGAGCAAAAGTCAATTCAATGAGGATAAGAATGATATTTTCATCACTGTGTCACCTTAACCAGTTTACCAGAAACAAAGAATATACAAACCAATACACTACCATAAGTAAAATTTACTGGGGAAATCACAAAAGACACAGTTTATCTTAAGACACCCAAGATGTAAAACATCCTGATTCAATAATCTGAGTAAGAAATATGCTGACTCTGTCAACTCTGTTGATAATTTTATACTGTTTGACAACCTCACATGCTATAAATAGATGAGGACAATTTTGGGGATATGCCTCAGCGTTTCTTAGAAATGATGAAGACTGGGTATGTGTATGGAGAAGTAATATAGGAAGAAAGCCAGAACAAAAACTAAACTTCAAGAAAAAAAGACATCAAGAGGCTGAACATTGGAAGAATGTTACAAAGTGAGAAAAGAGCTACAAGAAGAAAGTCCTTATCAGACAGAGGTGAGCACTGCAGGCAGTTATGAATCCTTACTTCCTGAGGAAAAAATACCATCTCCTATTTGAAAGACAAAAATATGGAGAATTTACAGATACTAGCAAGTGAAATGAATCTTCTTACTGATAATTTCCTAAGAAGTTAGGAAGTCCTGCCATGGCAACTACAGAAAGAGTTTCAGTATATGAGATGTGACAGCACCTGACAAAACTGAAACACTCATTGCTCATCAGTTTTGTGTACTAAGTGGGAAAGAGAGGCACACAACACAGTGGGCAGAGCGCAAGTTACACACAGCGTGATGGTCCTCCCTTTCAATTCTGACTGTGTACTACGGCGCAGCCACTTCCACTCAGGACACTGTCTCCGCAACAGTAACTGGGGTCCTGAGAGCACTACACTCAGTACACAGTATAGTTATTTGCTAAATAAACAATAGCTATTATTATTAATTACATGCTGAAAAACCTGGATTATATCCCTAGCACTTTTATATTTAAACCATCAAAGAAACTAAAGATTTTAGGAGCAATATGGGATAGCAAAAAGCACGTACCTTGCAGTCAGGTGAACCCCTGTGTTTAAATTCGGGCTCCACCACTTACTAGTTGTAGGGCCTGACCAAGCTACTTCATCTACCTCCACTTAAGTTTGTTAGCCATAAAAAGGAAACAATACCTGTACTTCATACAGTGGTTAAGAAGATCAAATAAAAAATCTATATGATTAATAAGATGACTGTATATTTGATAAGCATAGGAAATAGCAAGAGTGAAAAGCAAATGAGGGGAAAGAATAAAACAGAATATAAAAGAAAATGACAGAATAAAGATTATATCATTATCATTATAACAGCTGTAGGTAAGAGAAAATCTTAAAGAGAATCTTGAAATGATGAGAAAAGCTATTCCATGCAAAAATAAAGAGAAAGGAATCCACAGTAAAATCAGACAATACTGAATTTGAGATAAGAAACATTAATAGCACAGACAGGGCCATCTTCAAATGATACACATCACAACAGAGATTGAGCCAGCAAGAACTGTATGGGCCAACAAACAATACAGCATAGACATAAAGCAAAAATCATGGCAATACAAGCCATAACCTAAGAAACACTGGCAATGAGATACTTGAACACCCTTCTTTAAGTCCTAAACTAACAAATTACCTTAAAATAAGTAAAAATTTTAGAGAATTTAATAAGCGGTGACCTCAGAAGAAATGCTAAAGAACAAAAAATAGAAAAAGAATAAAATTGATAATTAGAATCCATGAGTCACCTGTTGGAAAAATTAGATAGATCTCCTGCTCCCCTAATCAGATACTTAAAATTTAGAAAGAGTTAAGAGAAATAAATACAACATGGAGATGATTAATAAATTTAAAATGTGATTTAAATGGCTACTATAACCCTAGAAGAGACAAGCTATAAAATATACTTCTGTTAACAATTATTTTTTATTATTTAATAATTTTTAATAATTACAGTAATTATGTTTAATAACATATTTGCAAATGCATGAAATAAAATCCAGAAAAATAGTTTAATAATGGTTGTTCCATACTGAGGGTGGAAAATGTCTGATTATCAGGCATGTTTCCCTCCCTAAGTGAAAAATACAACTTATATTGAATATATAACTTCTGTAATCAGGGAAAAATAAAATTAAAAAGAGGGCTAAAAACATGGCATGGGTTTAGACAAACATGCCAAAGTAGTATACACTTATTTGCTCCTACCTTCCCTGTATTTTCTTTACCAGGCTATGTAAGCCAATAAAAATTATATTTATGAAAATTATACAGAAAAATATAAGATGAAGTGAGGTGATAAAACAATGAACTGTATCTATGTTATGTGTGCATTTGTGTTCAGTCACTCAATCACGTCCAACTCTTTGCAATGCCCTGGGCTGTAGCCCACCAGGTGCCTCTGTCTATGGAATTTTCCAGGCAAGAATACTGGAGTGGGTTGCCATTCCCATGTTATAACTAACCTTAAAAGAAAAAGACTACGCACAGATCCAATGCTTAAAAGGAAAGGAAATATAGAAAATAAAGTTACTTAAAAGTATGTTAGGATTATAGGTTATTATTTTTGCTTGAAAGTAAGTATTTATTGCTATGTTTATGCAGCAAACAAAAAACAAGAGAATTATCACACTTACTACACGGAGGTCTTCGATACGTTTTTCAAGGAGGACAGGCAGACCCTCTGGGAGTGTAGGCACCACCTTGGGCATAACTTGAGAGGCATAGGTTGGCTGGGTGGTGTTTCCATTCTCTCCCCCTGACTCTGAGAGGGGGCTACCATTAGAAGCAGCATCCAGTAATCTGTCAAAGTCGAAATCATCTAGCATCTCTAGGGCATTTTCAGCTTCCTGAAATAGTTCATGTTCGTTTGTGCTAACAAAGATGGGGAGGTCCGGATCAGCACTGTTCAGATTCAGGTCCGAGACATCATTTCCCAACGCTACAGCAGCAGAGTGGGGGTTATTCAGAGAGGAGGTTGAGAAGTTCACTGGGGTTTTAGGGTTAGATTCCTTCTTTAATGCATCCTTCTCTTTTTGAAATTTTCTTATCATGGCAGCTAGAGAAAGAGAATCTTTATAACGTTTCTTCTTTTTTTCAGATTTGTGTGAATTTAGAGCCATAACTCTGTGAAGAAAAAAGTAATCAGTTAGGTTTTATATGATTTTAATGGTTAAAACCCCATGGAAATAAGGAGGCATAGAGTTAAAATAACATCATCTTCATCATCTGGACTGTCATTTATGAAAGGCAGATGGGTAAATGGCCATTACAGTGAATAAAATGAAAGGGATGAAGTCAACAGAAAAGAACACTATTAGAGCTCTGGTTTATTAAGTATACAAATTTAGGGAATTCCCTGTGGTCCAGTGGTGAGGACTCTGCACTTTCACTGCCAAGGGTGCAGGTTTGATTCCTGGTCACGGAATTAAGATCCCGCAAGTCACAGTCAAAAAAAAGAAAAAACGAAACTATATGAACTTAAATTCCTACGCCTTTTGGAATGTTCTTTCTTTGCCACATCTATAAAGTAGTCACCTAAAGAATTAATGAAGTAAAGAACTGCACTTTTGCTGAAAACAGAGTTGACTTTAATAACAACCAGAGAAGCCTACACAGTACACCTTCAAACCCCAGGTGGTTCGTGCTACAAACTGCCAAAGGAATGCAAAATCCTGAGTCAATCTGTGAGCCTTCATTCATCACCATGTCATTTATCCAGACCTCATTCTGTCTGCTACTACCTTCTGATCCTTTTTCACTCTGCATTTCTTCTCTCTGAGGGTGTGGGATAGATACATGTAATTTTCAGTGACAACTTTCTCTCTGTGGGGATTATAAGGAAAGGGTGGTCTCGGTTTAGCTATCACTTTCTCTCAGAAATCTTTCCTAAATTCATTGGCTTATATGCTTCTATGTGCACTACAGAAACTAAAAATGATGATTAGTGCTTTGAAGGTAGGCCACTGTTTCATTTCATACTGTTATATATCCAAAACCCAGACAGTGTCTGGTATGCAGGAATTATGTTTGTTGCTCAGTGTGTACGACTCTTTTGGGACCCCACTGACTAGCCTGCCAGGCTCCTGTGTCCATGGGATTTTCCAGGCAAGAATACTGGAAGTTGCCACTTCCTCCTACAGATCTTCCCGACCCAGGGACTGAACCTGCGTCTCCTGCATTGGCAGGCGGATTCTTTACCACTGCACCACCTAGGAAACTCAATCTCATGTATCAAAAGTGAAAGCGAAAGCGAGGCTGCTCAGTCGTGTCCAACTCTTTGTGACCTCATGGACTGTAGCCTACCACGCTCCTCCATCCATGGGATTTTCCAGGCAAGAGTACTGGAGTGGGTTGCCATTTCCTTCTCCAGAGGATCTTCCCAACCCAGGGATCGAACCTGGGTCTCCCGCATTGTAGGCAGACGCTTTATCATCTGAGCCACCAGGAAAGTCCCTAATCTCATGTATATGAGGAGCCAAGTACCTCCTTACATCAACTCTTGAGATTTTGAGTCCCAAATTCAGATGTATCTCTTCCTCTGCTAAGAACGGGAGAAAAATCCAGCCTCTCACAAGTTTCTGTCCCTGGGCTCTATCTAAAAAAGCCATAGAGAAGTAGGGACAACTGGTAGTTTCATGATTGCAAGGTTCATTTTATTCTTATGACTTTTTATTCCATTTCTCTCTCTCGCTCTCCTTTTTTTTTGGTGGCTGTGCCTCTCGACGTATAGGATCTTAGTTTCTAACCAGGGATTGCACCTGTATCCTGGCAGTGAAAGCACCAAGTCCTAACCACTGGACTGCCAAGGAATTCCCTCTTATGACTTAATAAGCTTTTGAGAAATTCTACTTGGCCTTTTAGAGGCAATATCATTACCTAAAGTGACAAGCATTAAGAATAGCTAAGTAAAACCAATGACTTTTAAAAAATATTAAAACGACCCATCAATCATTTACACAAGGATTAATGCCAATTCTCAGACCCCGGGTATCTAAGCTTTGTTTTAGTTCAAAAAATTAAGAAAACGTGTTCCATTTTTCAAACTGATTCTTGTTGATAAAATGTTGTAATGAGCAAAATACTTAATGAACAAATATGTAAACCTGATTTAAAACATCTAAAGTCTCTAAGATGACTTCTACTTAATAATAAATATTATTAAAATATAAGTTAATAGGTCACTGACATTTATAAATACTGTATTAAATTAGATCCAGCTAAGTTGAACTAATTAATGCTAAATATATCTTTCTAAAAAGGAGTGCTTGTCATGCTACAATACTAGTTCCCTCATTATGTCTAATTTCACTTACCCCAGTTGTTTGGGTACTTTTTTCCTTGGCTTCTTCTCCTTTTCCCCTTCCTCTTTCCGCTTCCTCTTCTTCATCTCAATATCATCTTCTTTTATTTTGGGAATCTATAAAATGATGAAATATATCACTTACCTAAGTGTTACTGCTCTACTCTTTGATGATACCAATCCAGGGAAAACAGTTTTACTCAAATTTCAGGGTGCATTAGAACTGCTTGTTAAAATGCAAATTCTTTGTCCATGAGAACTCCCAAACCTTGGTTTTGGCTCAGTTATCTGGGGGAGAGCCTTTTAATCTGCATTTTTAACAAACATTTTGATAACTCTGGTGCAAATATGTCTTTGGCTCACATTTCAGGAAACATCTAAAGACATTTTATTCATTTCTCAAATATAATATATACATTCTATAAAATTTGCTTTACATCTTAGAAAAAGTAACTGCTATTATTACCAGTCATTTCCATATCAAGTCTTAAGCTAGGGAGGTGGAAGGGGGGATCAGGATGGGGAACACATGTAAATCCATGGCTGATTCATGTCAATGTATGGCAAAAACCACTACCATTTGTAAAGTAATTAGCCTCCAACTAATAAAAATAAATGGAAAAAAAAAAAGTCTTAAGCTATCCTAGAACCACAACCTTATCCAGAAACAGCGGACTATTAGACTAGATACGGAGAGAGAAGTTTTAACAGAAAATATAATTCTATTATGATATAAAAATATACCTTCCCATATTTATATAATTTTAAAGCATGTAATTAACTATAAATTCATTAAACAATGATTAGCATTTTACTTTTCCATATATTCATAGCTGCAAGGCACAAGTAAAATTCAAAAACCACATCCTTTTAACTGAATGCTCTCACTGCTGTTGCAGTGTTGGATAAACTCACTTTGGGTGACTTGTGCTTTTGGTTGTCTGTGGTATCGTCTTCTTCAGTATCTGAAGCTTGGCGAAACTGGAGAGTGCCAGTGTTGATATAAAAGCCTCCATATTTTGTTGTTAGAGAAGCAGGAACTAATTCGTCATACTAGATTGAAAAAAATTTTTCAGATATATCTTACTATCTTTAATTCTATAAATGCATCAAAGAAATTCAATCCCGTCAGCATCTTCCTTACATCTTAACTACAAAACTAACTGCAATGAAGATGTCTGTGAATAAATTTAGAAAAAGTTAGTATCTGGAACAGAAATGAGCTCTGATCATTCAGTATTTATTAAAAAAAGAAACTTCTCAAACACCGAAGCTAATTCTAAATATATCATCTGCTGAGAAAAACTTAACAATCACTGATATTCTTAATGACAAATGATTCTGATGAGAAACTGAAACAAGTTAAAACAAAAGACTAAATGGCCAGATGACAAATGAACTCCACTTATTACCAATATTGGTATTAATACATAATTTTATTCATAAATATTATAAAAATTAAAGGTTATTTCTTCTGCCTTAGTTCTAAGCTTTTAAGTAAGGAATATTTTTTAAACATATAAAACAAAAATAAGTTTTAAAGGGAAGTAGAAAAAGAACTACCCTGTTCAGTAAGCATACACTGAGAATCCAGGTACTTCTCTGAAAAAGATTCAAATTGTATACATCAGTATGAAGATCTGGTCTAGAATATCACGTTAAGCTGATGTCCTCTAAGCTTCAATTTTTTAAAATTTTATGTATGTATATATTTATGGCTGCGCTGGGTCTTTTGTTGCTACACAAGCATTCTCTAGTTGTGTAAGTCTGGATTTTAAGCTTTATCGCATCTCACCTGAAGAAGAAAAAACAAGCACTAAATTGAAGGTCAATCTTAACTAAATGAAGGTGTTTATGGCAAAAGAGGAAAAAAAGGAACTACTTATCTAACAGAAGCAAGATACCTGCTACCTGGGGTCCCCAGAACTCTACTTAAGGGTTCTCTCCATATTATATAATTAGTGTTTAAGAAAGTTGTATTTGTAAGGAAAATTCTTTTGCCATAGGCAAAAAATATACAGCACATATTTGTTAAACATATTAAGGCTAAATACAAAACTTGTGATTTTAAACTGTATCCTCTATTTTTTTTTTTAAACTGTATCCTCTTAAGTTACATGGAAAATGGAGAAAGTCTGTACATTTAATGATTTTGAACCAAAACTGAATGATGTTAGAAAAAGAAAAAAGGAACAAACTCCTTTCTTGTTGCTCCACTTGAGGGGTTACTACAAAGACCTACAGCTAAGACCTTCCGAAAGGGCCCAGGACTATCTGTAAGTAAAGGGGTGATGTGAGGAGTAAAGAACTAAAAGTGAAAAGAACGGACTTCCGTGGTGGTCCAGTGGTTAGGAATCTCCACATTTATCTGGAGAAAAACATGATGCTAAAGGATACATGCACCCCAGTGTTCACTGTAGCACTGTTTACAATATCCAAGGCACAGAAACAACCTAAACGTCCAACAGAGGAATGAATAAAGAAGATGTAGTACAAATGAGAAGGCACTGCAATGAGAAGCCCAGGCATTGAAACTCGAGAGGTGCCCCAGCTTGCTACAACTAGATAAAGCCCACGCATAGCAATGAAGACCCAGCGCAGACAAAAATAAATATTTTTTTAAAAGTGAAAAGTCTCTCTAGTAATTATTTTGAAAATGTATAATTGTGATAAGACAAATACACCTGCACTTTTTGCTTACATAAATTTGTATAATGCTTTACAATTTTTATCTTCCTCATATAAATTATTTCACTTGGTTCCCCTGATCCCCTTTGGAGGCTAGGAAGGCAAATATTACTCCCATTTTATAAGTGAAAACCAAATTCAGAGAGGTCAAGAACTTTGCCACAGTAACAGTATTGGTTTATGGCAGTGTCACTGACTGTTTTCCCAACCTACCCACTATAATAAACAGCATCTCGTGTTAGAAACACACTTATCACCAGGTTACCAGACAATGTGGAGGTACTCATTATCTACCTTCTTCAGCAGTATTCTGCTGAACTTTCCCTATCAGAACACTCTTCAGGAGAACAAACTCTTTATGCATATTTTATTTAGCCTTTTTAAAAAAATATAACCAAGTGGACTACAATTGTATTTGATAAACCTGGCAACCGTACTAAAGTGACACAACCAATATGACAGAGCAAGGATAAATACACAGCTTCCACTGCACTGTGAGTTATAATTGTGCCAAGCATTTTTTTTTTCTTGCAAGGTACAGGATATATTCTGGGGTTGTTTTTGTTAAGGTAACACTCGTTCATAACCTTACATAAGTTTCATGAGTATATGACATTTCTACTTCTGTAATAATTTTAGCCTTTTAAGTACAATGTATTAAGAGGCAATGGATCACTGAACTTGCAAACCAGATTTATTAGATCCTTTGCCAACAGAGATGCCTAGCTGTTGTGACCCAAAATAAATCACTTAACGTCAATACTTTGCGGCTGCAAAACAGATTCAATATTACTTACTTCACGAAGTTCTAGTGAAATTTAAAAGACATAACCTAAATAAAAGCATTAATCATGTCTGGTATTATTTCAACAATGAAAAGATTTCCTTTGTTTTTTAAAAATTTGGCAGCATGAATGTTAGACTCAAAAAAATCTTCAAAAGCATTTATTTTCAGATATTACAGTAATAAGTATTAACAGTACACAATTCTTAAAGTGAATCAGAACCAGATTATTTTCAATCCCTATTGAATAATATACAAATAGAGAAAGCCTACTAGTGGGAATTTCCTAGCGGTCTAGTTGTCATGACTCTGCACTTTCACTTCCAAGGGCCCAGGTTCAATTCCCAGTCAGGGAACTAAGATCCCATGAGGGTGACACAGCCCCTCAAAAAAGCCTATAAGCAATATACCCATTGGAAAAAAACAAGAAAATCATTTGGTTGGCTCATAAGTGTTTTATGTCTGAATCACTGAATTATTTCATGTAAAAATGAAATAATCTGTTAAAGAAAATGATGCAAAATTATTTTGCAAGTCAATAAACAACCTGTGTTTTAGTTCAATTTCCTCCTATAAAACAGGGACTGAAATTGTCCTATAAATATGTCAGTAACTGTATAAGTTATATATACATATATATATATCAAATAAATATATTTATATATATATAACAACAATTTATACCTACAAAATTTATCCTCATTTATTAAAGCAGTGGCTTTCAAATTTTCTTCACCAGCCCAAGTGGAAAATACACTACCCATCAAAACCCAGTGCATGCATATAAACACACACACATAATAAAAATCGCATAATGTATCAGTAGCTTACTATAACAGCTCCTACTCTATTTCATTCTCTTTGAAAATGCCGGCCAGCCTTTAAATTGATACACAAAGAAATTACATTTCACAAAAATCGGTTTGAAAAACACTTTTATTCAAATATTTGGAATGCTACAAAGGAAAATACTAAAAATGCTCTTTATGAAAGGCTACATACCATATGATTCTAACTGTATGATGCTGGAGAAGAGGCAAAACTATGAAGACAATAAAAAGATTAGTGGTTGCAGGTGTTAGGGAGGGATGAATAGGTAGAGCATATTATTTTTAGGGCAGTGAAACTATCTTGTATGACAGTATAATGGTGGATACACGTCATTATACATTTGTCAAAATCCACAGAACGTACAACACCAAGAGTGAATCTGAAGGTAAACTATGGACTCTGGGTGATGATGTGTTGATGCAGATTCTTCACCTGTGACTAGTATACCACTCTGGTGGGGGAACACTGATAATGGGGGAAGCAGTGCATGTTGTGAGGTCAGGGAGTATATGGGCAATTTTTGCACCTTCCATTCAATTTTGCTGTGTACCTCAAACTGCTCTAAAAAAGTTAAGTTTATTAATTAAACTCAAACAAGGGCTCTATGTCAACTTGGGGGGTGGGGGATGAGGAGGGACATGGGAGGTAAGTTCAAAAGGGAGGGGATATGTGTATTCCTATTGCTGCTTCATGTTGAGGTTTGACAGAAAGCAACAAAATTTTGTAAAGCAATTATCCTTCAATAAAAAATTTTTAAAAAATATTTAAATGCTATTTATGTAAGCCTAAGTACATGCAATGTTCATTCATACATGGCATGGCTGAGTTTCCTCTTGGGTTATTCAGAATTCAAAATCTACTTTACACAGAGTGTTAACACCAGTACTATTGCTTTATACTTGCTTTATGCTTTTCGATGGGCTTCCCTGGTGGCAAGTGATAAAGAATCTTTCCCAAGTGGTAAAGAATCCACTTGCAGGAGCAGTAGGAGAGATGAATTTGATCCCTGGGTTGGGAAAATCCCCTGGAGAAGGAAAGGGCAAACCCCTCCAGTATTCTTGCCTATGAAATCCTACGGACAGGGGAACGTGATGTCCATGGGATCACAATGTCCTTGGGATCACAACAAGCTGGATACAAATGAAGTGACTGAGCACCCACACAGGCTTTTCAGCATGTCATTATCTTGAGTCTCAGAGTACATAATTCTGCTGGGCAAGTCAATCATAACAGAGAAAACTGGGTGATGCTAAAATAAAAGACTTGCTCCTGGTCCACAGTGAATTATAAAACAAGTGGAGTCTAGAATCTAGTACTTTTGACTTCAATATCAAATCAAGGTCAAAACTCTTTGAGACCATTCCATGCCCGAACCTACAAAAAGGCTGACAACCTTTTTGGTAACAGAAAGTCCTCTCAACTCCGAAGGACACTGTCAACATTTTACTTCTACAGAGCAGGCTTGCCAACCAGTTTATGTTTGGAAACCAAAGTAACACAGGAGTATGACAGGGTATGTATGCCTCATGCTGGAAGTCCTTCCTATCACTTTCCTACCAGTACACGCCTTGTCATCCTCTACACAACCAAGCCCTGTAGTAACAGGAAAAAGAGATACTAATTTGCAGGTAGTCTAACAGCCACCTTAGTGTCACTTTCTGTATGTTCTAAGCAGTCACTACACAGTGCAGGGGATATCAAAATGCAGGGATTAGATTATTCCAGCACACTGAGAAGAATGTAAGAACATACAACTTACCAACCCCTAAACATGGCATGCCTTTATTTATCTGCTATGCAATCAATGGACTGCTGTAGTCCTGAAATGCTCTCCTGAACTCCTCTTCCTTTTATAAGAGAAAGAAGATTCCAGGGGGAAAGCTGTAGGGCTTCATTAAAACAGACTGTGATGAAGGACAGCATTCAACTGTCACCACTGTAGTAAGGACTGGCAGCAGTGAAACCATGTAGCACAGTTTCAAGCTATCTGCCAGATTAACTACGATCCAGCAGCCTCAGTCTTCAAGATCTCATGGCTCTTATCCAAAGGTGTTTCAGAACACACCTGCCCTTGGGAACACTGATAAAAACTCAAGCTGGAACTAGTCTCTGATGAAAAATCCCACTACTAGAAACTTAATCTATACATATAATTTTACTCCATAATTATCTTACATGCATACTCAAGTACACAAAGAAAAATGTGTACTACTGATGGCTCAATAACTTGTAAGCACATAAAACTGGAAACTTATTTTTTTCTTTGGTCACACCATGCAGCTTTTGGGATTTCAGTTTCCCATCCAGGGATCTAACCCAGGCTCCAACTAAGAAAGCACCACATGCTAACCAGTGGACTGCCAGGGAATTCCCAAAACTGTAAATGATTCAGACATACATCAAAAGGGAATCAGTAAAAACACGTGCTGAAACATTTATTTTATCTTTGAATTCCACTACCCAAATAAACAAAGAAGTGCTTTTATATTAAAGACAAATTACTCACAGCCTCTGAGTTATCAATAAATGGATCTGTCTCATCATAGCCAAAGCCTATATCGATTAAATCTTGTAGCCGATCCTTCCGGTGTTTACGGGGCTTCCCACCCTGTGAAGAACAGATATGTTAGACTGAATCAGTACTCATGTTGTTTCCATAAAATTATAAAATACCTGTCAGAAGAATCTGCAAATGACTTCTGTAATAATACCCCTCAGGAGGTTGAATTTAAATCCCCTCACATCTTGAACGAAAGCTGTACTTAGGGACTCGCCTCCAAAGTAAGTTTACAGTGAAAAACCTGGCTAATGTTACTCAGCCACATGATCAAGGTCAACACCAACAGTGATAAGTCATATTGATATAGCATTACTCTTGACACGATGTGACACAAATTGCACTTAAAGTTTGCAGTCTTCCTCTCAAAAGCCTGTTACCTCAGTTACAGGTTAACCATGAGAAAAACATCATGACAAAACAGAACCACAAGAAAAACACCAAACTCAACTGAGGGACATTCTTACAAGTAACTGACCAGTATTCTTCAAAGCGGTCAAGATTAGCAAAATCAAGAAAAATCTGAAAAACCATCATAGTCTACATAAGCTTAAAGAGACAGAAAAACGAAATGTGATCTGCTCTCCTGCCTGGCATGCAGGCACTAAAAAAGGACATTGGGGGAAATAAGCAAATCTTGAATAAAATGCAGTATCAATTAATAGTAATGTACCAGTGTTGGTTGGTTAGTTGTAACAAGTCTGCTATACAATCATGTTACAGGGGAGACTGGGTGAGAACTATATGGAAATTCTTTGTACTTTCAACTTTTCTGTAATTCCAAACTATTCTTAAAAGTATTTTTAATGTCATAGAATTAATTATACACATAGACATACAATAAAATAAAAAATGAATGCATGGAGAAACTGGTGAAATCTGAATAAGGTCTGTGGTCTAGTTAACTTTATTGTCCCAATGCCTATTTCCTAGTTTTGGTAACGATAGTTAAGTCACTACTGAGAAAAACCAGGTGACTGGTACAAGGGACCTCTCTATATTGCAACTTCTTGTGAGTCTATAGTTCTCCTAAAATTAAAAGAAAACAAAAACTTTTTTAAGTAAAACCACATCAAAATCAAAAGAAGCAGTTAGTATGGACTCCATTATTCACATCACACTTTATTGAGTCTTTTAACTCTGACTGATTACAGTATAAAGAACTCAGTCTATCTCAGGGATTAAATGGTACATGTATTCTAAAGGTTATATATAAGCTTTCCATAAGCACTTTAACTGAGCAGGAAGGCTAGTATTATTATGGCACTATTAAAATGAGTATTTAGTTTCATCTCCAAGACTCATTTTAGATATGCAAATTGACTCATGCAAATTCAACTCTACTTTCTAAGCATCTTTCTAACAGCTGCCAGACCCCTTGATTTTTGTGAAGCAGGAGTGGGTAAAAGGATGCTCAGAAAGCAGAGAGAAAACCAACAGGGCTAAGGGTCCTGCCTGCCCTCATGCCACCAATGAGTGAGAATGAGCCCTGGAGAAGGTGTAGTATGTGAGACCGAACACTCCTATGGTTTACATTTCCACAGTGCACGTGTCTCTCAATGCACAGTGCATTTCACCACTGGTCCCAACGGTGAAAGATGGCTGAGTTTTCTGCAATATAGCTCTTAAATGAAAGCAAATTACTTCATCTATTTCCACGTGAAGAAATGGGGATCTCTTCCAGTGTTTACATTAAAAAAAAAAAAACAATTATGATGGACTTACTGAGAAATGTCTCCAACATAAAACCATTTCCTTTTTAGGTAATTTTGTAAGGTAATTCTGACTAAACGCTATGTTTGTATTGCATATTAATGTTAAAAAAAAAAAACCTACCCCCCATAACTATGACTCCATTATATGCTTTACAGTAAACAAAACTGTTATAATACCATCACCAGTGAGAGTGTCATTTTAGTGTGAGATAAAGTAGTTGCTCCCATGTTTTCAGCTTTTACCAGTTTTAAAAGCAACTTGGAGACCAACACAGAGGGGCAACCCTTTTATTTTGGTGGATAAAACAACTGAGTTCAGTTCACTACAGTCACTCACTTGTGTCCCCATGGACTGCAGCACGCCAGGCCTCCCTGTCCATCACCAACTCCTGGAGCTTGCTCAAACTCATGTCCATTGAGTCGGTGATGCCATCCAACCATTTCAGCCTCTGTTGTCTCCATTTCCCCCCAACTTCAATCTTTCCCAGCATCTGGGTCTCTCCAAATGAGTCAGTTCTTCACACCAGGTGGCCAAAATATCAGAGCTTGAGCTGCAACATCAGTCCTTCCAATGAATATTCAGGAGTGATTTCCTTTAGGATTGACTGGTTTGATCTCTTTGCAGTCCAAGGGATTCTCAAGAGTCTACTCCCAACACCACAGTTCAAAAGCATCCATTCTTCAATGCTCAACTTTGTTTATGGTCCAACTCTCACATCCATACACGACTACTGGAAAAACGACAGGTTGACTAGATGGACCTTTGTCATCAAAGTAATGTCTCTGCTTTTTAATATGCTGTCTAGGTTGGTCATAGGAACCTGGAATGTCAGGTTCATGAATCAAGGCAAATTAGAAGTGGTCAAACAGGAGATGACAAGAGTGAACATCGACATTATAGGAATCAGTAAATTAAAATGGACTGGAATGGGTGAATTTAACTCAGATGACCACTATATCTACTACTGTGGGCAGGAATCCCTTAGAAGAAATGGAGTAACCATCATAGTCAAGAAAAGAGTCCCAAACGCAGTACTTGGATGAAATCTCAAAAACGACTGAATGGTCTCTGCTCCTCTCCAAGGCAAACCATTCAATATCACAATAACCCAAGTCTGTGCAACAACCAGTAATGCTGAAGAAGCTGAAGTTGAACGGTTCTATCAAGACCTACAAGACCTTCTAGAACTAACAGCCCAAAAAGATGTCCTTTTCATTACAGGGGACTGGGATGCAAAAGTAGGAAGTCAAGAGATACCTGGAGTAACAGACAAGTTTAGCCTTGGAGTACAAAACAAAGTAGGCCAAAGGCTAACAGAGTTTTGTCAAGAGAACATACTGGTCATAGCAAACACCCTCTTCCAACAACATAAGAGAAGACTCTATACATGGACATCACCAGATGGTCAATACCAAAATCAGATTGAAGGCTTCAGCAATATGTGAACCATGAACTCCCAGATGTTCAAGCTGGTTTTAGAAAAGGCAGAGGAACCAGAGATCAATTGCCAATATCCGCTGGATCACCAAAAAAGCAAGAGAGTTCCAGAGACAAAGCCTTTGACTGTGTGGATCACAATAAACTGTGGAAAATTCTTCAAGAGATGGGACTATCAGACCACCTGACCTGCCTCTTGAGAAATCTGTATGAAGGTTAGGAAGCAACAGTTAGTACTGGACATGGAACAACAGACTGGTTCCAAATAGGAAAAGGAGTACGTCAAGGCTGTATATTGTTACTCTGCTTATTTAACTTATATGCAGAGTACATCATGAGAATTTCTAGGCTGGATGAAGCACAAGCTGGAATCAAGATTGCTGGCAGAAATATCAATAACCTCAGATATGCAGGTGACACCACCCTTATGGCAGAAAGTGAAGAAGAACTAAAGAGCCTCTTGATGAAAGTGAAAGAGGAGAGTGAAAAAGTTGGCTTAAAGCTCAACATTCAGAAAACTAAAATCATGGCATCCAGTCCCATCACTTCATGGCAAATAGATGGGGAAACAGTAACTGACTTTATTTTGGGGGGGGCTCCAAAATCACTGCAGATGGTGGTTTCAGCCATGAAATTAAAAGACGCTTACTCCTTGGAAGGAAAGTTATGACCAACCTAGACAGCATATTAAAAAGCAGAGACATTACTTTGCCAACAAAGGTCCCTTGAGTCAAGGCTATGGTTTTTCCAGTAGTCATGTATGGATGTGACAGTTGGACTGTAAAGAAAGCTGAGTGCCGAAGAATTGATGGTTTTGAACTGTGGTGTTGGAGAAGACTCTTGAGAGTCCCTTGGACTGCAAGGAGATCCAACCAGTCCATCCTAAAGGAGATCAGTCCTGGGTGTTCATTGGAAGGACTGATGTTGAAGCTGAAACTCCAATACTTTGGCCACCTGATGCAAAGAACTGACTCATCTGAAAAGACCCTGATGCTGGGACGCATTGAGGGCAGGAGGAGAAGGGAATGACAGAGGATGAGATGGTTGGATGGCATCACCGACTCAATGGACATGGGTTTGGGTGGACTCTGGGAGTTGGTGATGGACAGGGAGGCCTGGCATGCTGCAGTCCATGGGGTTGCAAAGAGTCAGACATGACTGAGTGACTGAACTAAACTAAAAGTGGGAGAAGCTCTACAGAGTCAGCAAAAACAAGACTGGAAGCTGACTGTGGCTCAGATCACGAACTCCTTATTGCCAAATTCAAAACAGCACTGATGACATCATCAAAAAATAAGTAGAATTCTTCTCAAGAAACACCAGTGGCAACAGACATACGCAAATACATACAACATATGGATATGCTTAAATGGAACAGACAATAAAATGTCCTTATTTTTCTCACTTGCCAGATCTGCATACTGCAGCTGTAATGCTATGTTACAGAATTACAGTGAGAAAAAGAAGGGGAGGGTAGAAGATATTTCCATGTTAGAAGTTATTCTACTGAGAAAAAGTATCACAAAAGCAGTTAAATACAGGACTGTTTTTACCCAAAAAAGAGAGTTCTAGTACATTAAAACTCTGAAGACAAAAACTAATGAGAAACACCAGCCCTGCCAGATATTAAATACATTTAAAGTTATAGGAGTTAAAATAGATATGACAGGGGAAAAGATGAATTTTATATGAAAAAGGCAGCATTGCAACTCAGTGGAGAGCAATTAATAACTAAATGGAAATAAAATAAGATATAAATTTCATCTAGCAAATTATAAACTTTTCAAATTCTGGCAAGATGAGGAAGAAATAAGACTTCTCCAATACTGCTGACAAGAGTGTAACAGGATGGAAAGGGACAGGGCACAACTTTTGAAAGAATGACATAGCCCAAAGAC